CGAAATTAATCTTACTAGTTGATGGAAAAACAATTTGGTAACAATTTCTATCTTTTTATGATGTCTAGGCTAAAACCCCAATTCTTGAGGTGTGATTATGGGTTGATTTAGCTTATGAGTATTGCTAATTGATAGTTTAAATATTGTTTAAAAAGTGATTTCAATCAGTAATTGTGGTTTAATTTAAAGGGTAGTAGTTGCAAATGCAACTCTACCTTAGTGTTTTTGGCTTGCTCGAGAGAGAGGTTTTAAAACCAAAATTACTGAATTGATGGTCTGTGGGTATTGGGTCTTCATGGGTTCAGCTCGAGAGAGTGAATCCTAAACCCTTTTCCACACATTCAGCTCGAGAGAGTGAATGGACTAAAGCGTAGGTTGTTCTTAATTGCTGCTTGTTGGTGTTCGAGAGAAACCAACTTGATTCGGGGTAAATTGTTCGAGAGAAAGTTTATCCCCACTAAATTCTAGCTTATTCACTGATTTATAGCTATTTACTAACAATTGCAATTACCCATTTGTCTACCTTAGCCTATAATCCAATCACATCCCAAGAACCCATCTCATTACTTGTTAATTCGTGTTATTTGTTGCTATTGTAGTTGATAATTACAATCAAACCCCCCCTGTTATTTGACACGTGTGTCACCCTTTAATTTGAATTATGCTTTTATTCGTAAATATTTATTCCTATGACTGACTTGAACATATTCGTACTTTGCTCTTGATTCTTAAACACGTACCACTCCCTGTAGGATTCGACCCCAACTCATTTAGTTGGGTTATATTACTGACTAACGATCGTTGACACTTAGTATTGGATGAAGTGTCCTGATACATGAAATACGTGAAATAAGACTCCCCAAACTTTGGGGAAGTATAATTCCATGTAGGTTATTGTGGACATGTTGACTAAATCAACTCATTTTATTCTAATTAAGGTGGATTATAACTCTCAACAATTGACAAAAATCTATGTTAAAGAGATAGTGAGGCTGCACAGGGTGCCCTTTTCTATCATTACAAACATAGACACTCATCTTACCTCTAAGTTCTAGGGTAAGTTGCATAAAGCGTTGGGCACTCAACTAACTTTTAGCACAAACTTTCATTCTTAGATGGATGATTGGTCGGAGGGAACGATCCAGGTTCTGGAGGATACGTTGAGAGCATATGTGATTGATTTTGGAGGTCATTGAGATCAATTCTTACCTTTGTGTGAGTTCTCCTATAATAATAAGTATCACTCCAGCATCGATATGACACCATTCGAGGCACTCTATGGGAGGAGATGCAAATCGCCTATAAAGTGGTTTGAGGTAGGGATGTGAAGACTTTGGGTGGTTATCTAGTAAGGAAGGCTCAAGAGAAGGTAAGAAATATCCAAACAAAGTTGTTGGCAACTCAAAGTAGATAGAAAGAGTATGCATAACGTAAAGTAAGAGATATAAACTTTTAGGTTGGTGAACAAGTTTTGTGAAGGTGTCACCAATGAAAGGGGTGATTATCTTTGGCAAGAAGGGTAAGCTTATCCCTCGTTACATTGATATGTTTCAGATTCTCGATAGCATGGAGCCAATGGTTTACTGGTTAGCACTTGCCACCCAACTTGTTTGGAGTTCATTCAGTTTTTCATGTGTTA